TCTGTAATTGGAAGAGAGGTAAAACACCTTAATGTAGTAGATTTATGAGTTATTACTTATCTAAATCGTTTTAATAAGCTATACAAATGACAATATTTATCTGCATTTAAACAGAATTAATTCCCGAGAAAAATGAACCGTTTAATTGATTTACTCATACGTATCTTAGATCGCAGTCTTATTTGTTCAAGCTTTTCACGTGAGGCACAGAGATATCCTTTTCTATTAGGTGATCGTTTTGCTTCAACTTGGTATTGAAATAGGCTTTGTCGTTCTATTGTTAATCTTTTTCTTCTGAGAGATATTTCCATTTTACTGCTATATTAAGATATAACATTTTCAACATGAAAATATATTGAGCAAAAAGCGATCTACATAATACCAGGAGTGATCAATGAATCATAAATACGATTGAACGTGTAAGAATTATAAAAGGAACGTGTTTTTATATTTCTGAGATGGGATATTGTATTTATTTACACTATTTACTGCTGTCCTCATCTTTCGGCCGTTGTACTCTCCGGTCGTCTTAGGTGATTGGAATTTCGAACTGAGCCCGTTATTTCGTCTACCGGGGTAGATTGTTCTAGTTCCACGTGCCATGCCTCTTCCGGATGTTTCCGTGTCGGTTACCACCGTTTTAACTCAACTCTCTGAAGTTTTTGTTCACCACTGTCGTAGCCAGGTATTGAACTCACAAATCTTTGGGTCAAGCCACTGGATTCAACCAGCGCCTTTATCCACTGGGCCATGTGTCCTTGAATATAGCAACGAAGATGAGGACAACAGCCCGGACAATGTAAATAGTGTAAATAAAGGGAACGGATTAATTAAACGGTTCCTTGGCGTCTATTTTCTCTTGTGAATTCTTTATATCCGCTTTATTGAATCTCGATACATTGTTTCATGAATTTTGTCTCATTGGATCTCAATATTAAAGCTTTCTAATCATTGCCACCATTTTTGAGGGCACGGGTACACGAGTAGGATAATAATCCTGACGTTATACTGGGAGCAAACCGACTGCATCCGGATATAAAATGAATTCAATGAATACATAAAAATAGAAAGGGGTGTAAGACAAGGAGGTGTCTTCTCACCGGACTTATTCAAACTTTATAGCGAAGTGATTCCGAGACAATTAGAATCCCTACAAAGATTCATTATTAGGTGACCACAATCTTGATAGCAGACAAAGAAAGGAAAATACAGGATACTGCTTCAGAATATAGAAAATAGATACGAGAAGAAAGGAGTAAACATCAATTGTAAGAAGATAGAATGTATGGCTGACAGCAGAAAGTAGAGCCCAACATACGAATTAAAATAATTAGAGATGCCACTATCAAGCAAATAGAAAAAAATTAAATATTTGGGAAAATATTTCCAAAAGCTAAACAAAGTATTAAGAAACAGGAAAATCTCGTTAGAAACAAATAAAATCGTACTTAACTGCTGTGTATTATCAGTCCTCTAAAAAGGCAGTGCATTCTGGACAATCTGCTCACAGATGAAGAAGAGACTTGAAACAACAGAAATGTGGTTCTGCAGAAGGCCGAAAATCCCATGGACTAAACTATATAAGCAAAATCAAAATTTTAGAGAAAAATAGAAACAAAACAAGTACTTAGCATCAGAAAGAGATAGTTGAAATTTCTTGGGCACATACTGAAGAAAGAGGGTTTGGAAAATTTGATACTCACAGGACATATTGATGACCAGAGATACTGAGGAACGCAGCCCTTGGCATATCGAACGAGCCTGTGTAAATGGTTGGCAGAACAGAAATTAGGAAAGATAGCGAAAAGACAAAATTTAGTAAGAGCTATAAAAGAGAGGAAAATGGGGAGAACTATGACCAACGACATCCTGGAGAAGATACGTGAATATGTAAACCTTCACACGAATGCACTATTTAGAATGTGACCTTTTCCTCTCTACGGGGGATGCAATCGATGTATTTTAGTCCCGAAAATTCAGCCATATCCATGTGATCTATACATTTAAAAGTTTAAAAAAGTGTTCCAAAGATCAGAATATATAAAATGTTAAATTTAAAGTGAGTTAGCGTGCTTGGGATAATCCTTCTAATTCTTCTAATCTGACGATTTGTTTCACGAGTTTAGTTTACTGGAGGTTTACGTCGTCGTTCTGAAAGGTTACACTGTTTGTGGAACAAGTGTTTTATTTGTTTGTTTGTTTGTTTTTTTAATGTAAATATTCCTGCGACAGTTGTCCTTGACAATTTAAATATGCCTTATTCCACGAGCTCATAACAGACTATATATTCTGGCTGAATATCAACGACGAGGAGTGTAGCAAAAAAGAAGACGCTTTAAAAGTTATTACAGCAATTAATGCCTGCAATCAGTTTCTTCCGTTTCTCGTCCGTGAGACTCGTAGCCAATTCAACAGCACAGCAGTCAACCGTAATGGCCTGTCAATGCACACTTCGCTCACCGATTGCATTGATAGCTGATGGGAAATCAGTGAACTGTCATGGGTATGACACAATTAAATTGGATGTTGGTCGTGCTCGATCCGTGGACTTTGAAACCCAATGGACAATGCCCGCGCAGGTGGTGACTACTGTGAAGTTATTGACTACAAGTGTCGCGAAGGAGAGAGACAGAAGAAACGGGGACCAGTGCTATAGCCGGTTCGACTGTCGAACTCTATGCCTCGACAGAGAGGAACCCGGACGAGGCTATGCCGAAGGGCAAAATTTCGTCCGGGGAGGTAAACAGGCCCTGAAACCGTTTATGCGGATTCTAAGGGAATATTTTTGGCCGAGCCTACGGGCTCGGAGAATCCACGGTAAACCCAGCCTTATGCCACATACATCCCTCGTGGTGGTGGTGGGGGGTTGTTAAATATTAACAGAAGAATCCGATTGCAGGCATTAATTGCTACAATAACTTTAAAATGTTTTTTTTTTGTTTGTTTTTGTTTTTTGTTTTTTTTGCTATAAGCTATTTCGGCAATTTTTCTACGACATGCCGGAAAAGGTGTTTGAAAACAGATTGATCCACCGATTAACCAATCACGGTGTGGATTGAGAACGTCGAGCTGTTCTGTGAGCTGTACGACATGAGGAGGATCGAGCCCGTCCTGCCGTTACATTTGAGAAGTGAGGCTATCCCTGTATACCGGCAACTAAGTAAGGAGCAGAGGTCAGACACAGAGCAGATAAAGCAACCCTTCGTGACCGCTTACGCAACAGATTCCTACAATGCGTTCGACCAGTTCATGACGAGGTGAATTCCTACTGGGGAAACTGTCGATGAACTTTTGGCGAAGCTACAGCGCTCAGAACGGCTGATTGGCGGACAGTTACCTGATCGATGGACGGTTTGGGCATTCGTTTCTGGGCTCCCACAGAACGTTAGACGCCTTCTTAGAGCATCGTCTAGAATAGAGACTATGACCTTGGAGCAACTTTTTGTCTATTATGACTGATTGCAGACATTAATTGCTACAATAAGTTTAAAGCTTTTTTTTTTTTTTGCTACGAAGAGTTATTATTTTTTACGCTATAATTATTTTCACGGCAACTGTTCCGACTAGTCGCTTTCTTTGGTTCCCAGATTGCATGAATTTAAACGAGTTACTAGACTGGCATCTCGGTCCCACCCCTTCACTGGCGAAATGGTTAAATGTAACCGTCTCTTCTACTCAAATAGCTTCTTCTCTCGCACTTCCCATCTGCGGAACACCCGTCCTCCTGCTTGCTTCCTTGATAACTATAATCTTCAAATATTCAATGTAATATCAATCGACATCTTCTGATACCTTGATCTTATTCCCCGTTCTTCTCTTTATCCTCTCCCCAAACATGCCTCTTTACTCTTGTTCTTTACCCTCTGTAACTCCTTGCCTGCTAGTGGCACTCCTGCCTTGGGGTGAAATGCTTAAAATAAAATTGTATTCGGACTAATGTCCTCGTCTTTGGCGTTATTAACAAAATGTTCTTTTGTCTTTGTGCTCTCTGGCCGTCTTCAGATGCGCGGCTCGACAATGATCTGAATAAGGGTTGGGAATGGAACAACGGAAATTTTGTCATAATAACAAGATGAGGATGTTAGTCGGGGTGTAAACAAAGCAGATAATCATATTCCACCAACTGATACCCAAGACATTAATGGAGGTGGATTATTTAACGGGGTATAAAACAACTGGGCTATTTTCACTGCTATTAATGGCAATTTTCATAAATAAATTTATGTAAACCCTTGCGTTTTAGTCGTATTATCGCCTTGCTTGGAATGAAATGATTTAAAAATAGAACCCCAATAAGCAATGACTTCCTTTAAATATGGCGGAAGTATCAGCAAAGTGACAGGAAGTGACAGGGTGAATGAAAAGTACCTCCCTATTTTATGTATGAGTGGCCGGCCAGGAGTCCTGACTTAACACACAGTTTTTTTGTTTTTTTTTTTGTTTTCTTTTTACTATACCAAACTTGAAAGAAATTGAAGAGCAAATACAAATGTCTTTTATGCCACAAGAGTTCCTAGTGAAACCATTTGACGCGATTCCTGGGCAGCTGGAGAAGCTGGTAGCGAAACCTGGTGCCCATATCGAATTTTAAATAAAACATTTTCTTATCATATCCATTTCTTGTAAAAAAAAATTATAGCGAATAAATTATGAGTATTTTAAAATGGGAAGTTACTTTTTAATCACAGTAGATAAAAATCCAAATGAAAATTTCAGGATTTTTTATTTTTTTTTGTCACAATTTTGATATCTATCTTATTTTTTTATCATCTCTTTTATAACAAAAGCAAACATATTACTTATAATATCAAGTTCCCGTGCGTTCTCTACGGGCGATTTCTAACAGAAGATATTGAAGTACATTTTCTTCGTAAAAATGAGAGCCCGAGAAGATAAACCGTCACAAAATGTGTCCTTTAGGCATTAGACTGTACAACTGATTGTATCTTAATGGGAAAATATGCCCAACTCTGTAATGTTGTAAATCATGGCAAGTCTAAATGTGTTGTTTTCTCATTTTCTCTCACACTTTCTCTCTTTTTTCCTCGTCACTTTATTCCCTATATGTTTCTTCCCTCTATTTCCGTTCGGCTTCTTTTTCTAGCTATCTTTTTTTCCCCTCTCTTACTCTTTTCTTTCTCTCGTACTCTTTTCGCTTTCGTTCTTTCTCGCTTTCTCCTTCTGTGCTTATCTCGCTCTAGTCAACATTGTTTTACTATGTCTAGCATTCTCTTTCACTTGCTCTCTCTCTCTCTCTCACACACACACTTTCTCTTTTTTTTGGTGTTTTTCTCTCATTCATGCTTTCTGTCTTTTTCACTTTCATTCATTTTATCTTTATTGTTCTTTCTCTTTTTTTCTCTCTTGTTTATTTTTCTCTCTTTATCTTTCTTTCCATTTTCGATTATTTTTTTTAGCTCTCTCCGTATCTCTCTTTATATATTTCTCTTCTCCTCTCTGTCTTTTTATTTCTGCTCGATTTCGCTCCCTTTCTTTCTCTCTCCCCTCCCTCTCTCTCCCTCTCTCTCTTTCTTTCTTTCTTTTTACTTAACTATCTGTGGCTGTCTGTCTTTTTCTCTCTTTCCTTCTTTCTATATTTCTCTCTCTCTCTCTCTCTCTCTCTCTCTCTCTCTCTCTCTCTGTTGGGTCTCTTATTGTCTCTGTCTTTCTTTCTCTTTTCTAGCTTCTGTATTTCTCCCTATATATTTTTCTCCCGCTCTTTTTCTTTATCCCTATTTTTCATTCTTTCTTTCTCTCTTTCTTTCACCGACTCTCTCTCTTTTTCTATCTATCTATCTATCTATCTATCTATCTATCTATCTATCTATCTATATCTATCTCTCATTATTCATTTCTTTCTTGTTTTCTCTGTAATTCTCAGTCTCTGTCGCTTTTTTCTCTTTCTCTTTCTTTTCTCTTTTTATCCTTCTCGCTTTCATTATCTTTCCTCTCTTTTCTGTGTCCTTCTGCATTTACTCTCACGATATTGCTCTCACTTTCTCTCATTCCCTTTTCTTCATTCTCTGATTTCCCTTCTCTCTCTTCGGATCTAATTGTATCCATATACAACCGAAACTTGACCTTTATTTTTGACCAAGGACTCGTTCACATAATTAGATCGCTCATCTATAGATCAACCTCATTTTTTCACATAACAAATGAGTAATTAACCTCACTATACACTGCACACGTGATGTGAAAAAGGCAAAATACGAAATCATTCATTCATTTGCCGTAACTCTTCATATATAATACGCACATCTAAAATTGTACTGTAAGTGTGGGAAAATGCTTCTACCCACTCATAATACGCACCCCTTGTTTCGTAATCAAACCCTATACATTGGACTTCTTCAATTTCATTACGCTTAATGATTGCTACTCTTATTTTTTTTAAAATAGTTTTAAATATAGAATAATATTATTCTAATTTAGTTTAACCCTAGAACACTAACCATCAGTTAAAGTTACCCCACTACTAACCATGAGTATAACATACCCGATATTGAGAATATCAAAAAATATTAAATATAAATCTTTATTTGAAATATTTTATATGCAAGCACTTCAAACTTTATACCTTGAGTTAACATTAATAGGAACTGAAAAACATATTATTTAGGTAAGAAAATCAGGTACTGAAAATTTTAATTAAAAATAGGAAAAAATTGCGCTGGGTACCATGGGTACCCATGGTTAGTGTTCTAGGGTTAATGATTATTCTTATTCTATTTTACGACAATTTTTTACAGATTTTTGTAGCTGTGCATAATACGCACCCCTGATTTTGCTTATTAATTTTAGAAAAAAATGTGTAATATCCATGAGGATTTACGGTATTTAGTTAGCGCATCCCCCCCCATCTCACAATTGTGGTCGCCGCTTCCCTTCATCTCACAACTGTGGTGACCACTGCCCTTCATCTCACAAATGTGGTGACCATTGACCTTCATCTCACAAATGTGGTGACCATTGCCCTTCATCTCACAAATGTGGTGACCGCTTTCCTGTGTTTCATGCTGACATTCAAGGTAGAATAGTGCAATGGCTTTGCCGGTTCCTTTTGCACAGGGGATGCTGAGGTTACCTCGTCGATCCTCTTAGAAGTTAAAAGGGCAAGACCTACAAGGCGGCAGGCGGTATAAATTAAGAGTTTTCCTTCTTCTGGACTGGCAATGATATATGGAGGCCGTGCGCTGCCCTGACTACATACCCCGCCTCGGCCGTAACGACAAGGACAAAAGAAATACAGGGTAATATATATTGGGACGGCTTAGCTGCAGAAATTGTCGGAAAGTTGTCAGCATTGACAACCAACCGCCTTCGGGTCTCCTCTCCGGATTTTCGGTCTAGATTTACTTTCATAGCCTTTTCCGTGTTTTGGATATAACCGCAATGCTGCGGAATTTTAAAAATTAGGATTTTCTTTCCCTCTAGATGGATTGCCTTCCTGGGCTGTCGACCTCCATCTAGCCGAAGAGACTGTCTATGAGGCGCCACTTTTCCGCTTTCACCCATTCTCCGTCTTGGAGCTGGCCTTAGGTTTTAGAGGCTATTTAAGACGCATGCCACTAATTAATTTTATAGGCAGTGGGAGCTTATACCCACTATCTCTACGACTAGGATAAACTTTCTTATGAAATACGAATCATTAAAAATGTTTAAGCGTCATCGTCATGACGATAAACTACATCCGGCAGCAAGGCATCTGATCGGGAGGTTTTGATGGGCGTTGAACCGCCTTTTAATTTCTGTTGTTCCGAGGTCCACCTGTTAGGGTCCCAGAGCTATGGGAAAATAGTTAACACCCAAACAATATTCAAAACCCTGTGGAAGTGTGTAAATGTATTTTTATAGTAAAAATACCAGCAATACATTTTTGACCAAAAAATATTACCAGCAATACATTTTTGTAAGAGAAGTTACTAATTCTCCCAAGAAAAATAAATTAAGGCATTAATTGACCCATAGGCTATTGATGTGCCATTAAACAATCAAACGAATCTATCCTAAAAATCTTGTCGGCATTAAATAAACCATTGGGATTGATATGCCGTAAAACAAAATTAACCCAGACGTAAAAATGTTGATGGGATTGTCAGCATTTATTTGTGTCTATTGTGTAGTATAAATTCTTAAGAAATCATTGACTGCCACGACGTAATTTTCCAAAACCTGATGCTATAATTTTGATCAATTTAGGAGCGCTTTACGTTTAATCTTTTTTCTTTCTTTTTTTTGAATATAGCGAAACTATTTTTGTCATGATTATATCGGCAGTGTATTTAGTGATAATACAAGTACAAATTGTCCCAAAAAATAAAACTGACATAATTTAAAATGTGAATATCTGAGTAACTCCATGTACTAAGCAAACAAAATTAAATAGGCATCGTGTTGAACAATAAAAGATTTACTTATCAAAATTTGAACAAGAAATCAAACGGAAAAGGTTTTATATTTCATTTTACAAAGTTTCACAAATGCTTAATATGTCCACCACGATGTGACACGGCACACGTCAAGTAAGAAGCCCAGCTCCTGCCAAACACGCTGTATCATCTGGTAATACATCTAGTAATACATCTGGTAATACATCTGGTAATAAAATGTAGTGAGTTGTCTATAGTAATCTACTCACAGAGAATACTGACGAAAAAGACTGCCATGCGTAAAAGAAAAACGTATTAAAGTTTATTTAGATTTTCTATGCGCCGTAGCCTTTCAGGGAATTTGAGATCATGGCTCTCCACGGCTGTTGTGGCCTGTTTAGAGACCAGAAAGAGAGACACGGAAGACGAAGTTAGGTTGAACAAGTATATTGAAATAACAGATATATACAAAGCAAGAGTGTTACTAATAAGCAGATAAAGGTGTACGACCGAATGGTAGATTAACAATGTGGCTCCCCTGCCCCACGACTCTATATTTAGCAGTCCCCCCACGAGGAATGTATGTGGCACAAGGCCGAGTTTAATGTGCGTTTCTTCGAACCTGTAGGCTCGGCCAAAAATATTCCCTTAGAACCCGCATAAGCGGATTCGGGATCTGTCTACCTCCCCGGACGAAACCTTGCCCTTCGGCAAAGCCTCGTCCGGGTTCCTCTCTGCCAAATCAGATAGTTCGACAGAAGTCGCACACAGTCAGAGACTGTTCAATGACTCTATATTTAACAATCCCCCCCACGAGGAATGTATGTGGCACAAGGCCGAGTTTAACGTGGGTTTCTCTGAGCCCGTAAGCTCGGCCAAAAATATTCCCTTAGAACCCGCATAAGCGGGTTCGGGATCTGTCTACCTCCCCGGACGAAACTTTGCCCTTCGACAAAGCCACGTCCGGGTTCCTCTCTGCCAAAGCAGAGAGTCGCACGCAGTTTGAGACTACCCTACGACTCTTCCCTAGGAAGTCTCGCAGTTAGTATTTATGAGAGGAGGAAGAGTTCATTCTACTGTAGGAGGGTTTACAACAACATTTTATCCTTTGTAGTTCTTTTGGGGTTTGTCCTTTTCCTATCCCTCCTAATCCATTTTCTTTCATCCATTTACACGAGCAGACCCTGAACTTTCAGCTGTCATGATGAATGGGTGTTCTCTCAAGAAGGTTCCTTGCCTTGTCCGTCTATCTGGACCTAAATCTATCCCAGATCTCCAGTGCAACTCGCGTATACAATCTATTGATTAATGTGCTGGAAAAATCGTTGGTTCTTTGTACTGCTCCTGTAAGTATATGATCCCCCACTGCTATACGCTATCTTTACAAAAATCGGATCACACCAAAAATTGAATATTGCGCTATATCCAAACTGGAGCTGCCCAGCCCTCACATGCCTATCTTCACGGCCTTCAGAATCATCTACCCGGCCTTGTGAGCGATTAATTATTTTTCACCCTACAACGCCTTCCCCACAAACGAAAAGTTTCGCGCCATTCGCTGCGCTAACGCTATTTATGTTTCATAATGACGAGCTACATTCCTTACTCCCCCTGCTCCTGACCTTTACACCCGGGATCCGGCATTCCACCTACACAAGAGCTAATTCGTTTCCTATTCTAATAGTAAGTTGTATTCGGACAGCTTCATCCCAAGAACTGCTGCTTCGTGTTACAGACTCCAGGCATTATGTTTTTCTAATCACTACAATCTTGACCTGTTCAAGTCTAGGTTTAAACTTTATCTCTCCTGCATCGCCACATGAATTGTACTTCTTATCCTTTTATGCAATACCACACAACGATCCTCTACCTTGAGTGACTCTTGAGTCTTTTATTAAGTGAACATAAGTAAAAATACGTTTTTTTAAAAAGCTCGCTAGGTACGTTATTCGTTGTTTTTCGCTGCTCCTCTGGTGTATAAAATGTTCCGTGAGTGTGAAATACTTCAAAGCTATCTCCTCATCATGTGTCCAAGAAATTTCAAATGCTTCTAGTAAGTGTCCTTAAAAATTCATCGTTAGACACATGTTCAGTTCATCCGGTTCTCAGCAGCCTTCTGTAGAACCAAATTTCTTTTGCTTCAAGCTTGTATCTGTGATGAAATTGTCCACCATTAACTGCCATAGAAAAGGACTGATATTACTTAACAATCCAGGAATATTTTCTTTCTGTTGCCTCAAGTCTTATTTTCGCCTAGGAGAAAATTGTCCATAATTCGCTGCCATATCGGGCGATTGATATTATATAGCAGTTCAGCAATCTTTTTTTTTTTTCTGTTGCCTCAAGTCTCTTCGTCTCAGAGGGAATTATCCAGCATTCACTGTCATATGAGAGGATTGATATTACATAAGTATTCAGCACTCTTTTCTCTCTTTCTTAGAAAATGTTCCTATTTGCTGAGATTTTAATTTGGATTCATTTATATCAGCACCCAAGAGCCAGCTCGGAGTAGCGAAAACCGGTTGAAAATTAAGGTATATCTGTACTAAGAACATATTAACCAGATTAATAGTCAGTTTTTGATTCATAAAGATCTCAACTTTGAGGCGGTCTCGGCTTTAGCAAATAGCAAGTTCCGTTATGGCATCTTACTTTGTTAGGTTAGCAGTTGGAAGTGAAGCGGTAAACAGAGATATCAAAAAATTGATTTATAGTTCTGATAAATTGAAAAAAAGACTTTGGAGGGGGAGTATTTGTACTTCTGCCTTTCTTATGACAAGCGTAACTCACATTTTTAACAGATTTGCTGTTCCCTTTATGCATTCAACTTTTTCTAAAGCTTTTTTTTCCAAGAAAGGACAAAAGCACAACCGAATTTATATATTTGTACACGCATTTTTACTTACCATGTCGATGGCTCAGAAATGACTTTAATGATTCTTCTTGCGTATTATATCAAGGATATACTTCCTGTCGCCACCTCTGAACGCATAAACCGCACGGAGATACATTCCGAGAAATAAGACTGATTTCTATTATTATTATTATTATTATTTCCTTTGATTTCTGGCGTTTACACATTTCTTTCCGGGTCCCGCCTACGGACCTAAAGTTAGAAATGAAATGATATCATGACACTTTCCACTGACAAAAAAAAAAAAAAAATTATATAGACAAAGACCTTCGTAAAGTGTTGGCTGTACTTGTGAGAACAATTTTTTGTATCTCTTTGTGGCATGGACTTCCAGGAATCCCTTCGATTAGTCTACTGGAATCTCTTCCAACCAGTCCTAGGGCTCCAAATACAACAGGGATTGTTGATGTTCCCATGTGCCACATTTTCAAGATTTCTATTTCAAGGTCCTTGTATTTTGACAACTTTTTGAATATCTTCAAAGATTCATTGCAGTCAGCAGGGACTGCCATATCAATAAGGGGGCACCGTTTTTGTTTGTGGTCTTTGATAACAACATCTGGGCGGTTGGCTTTGATTGTTCTGTCAGTGTGTATTGTGTAGTCCCATAGAATTGTAACAGGTCCTATCTCCGTAACCGGGTCTGGATGGTGTTCATACCAGTTTCTTTCAGTTTCCTTCCCGTAGTAGCTGCAAATTTTCCAGTGCAGATATTGACCCACTCTGTCATGCCGGGTTTTATATTCAGTTGGTGCCAACACTGTACAACCTGATACAAGGTGATCAATTGTTTCTGGATATTTATCACAGAATCTGCATTTTGGGCTGACAGAATATTTTAGTATATGTGCTTGATAATTCCCAGTTAGCAAGCATTGGTCCTGCGCAGCAAGGATAAAACCTTCAGTTTCAGTTTTCAACCCTGCACTACGTAGCCACTGATGGGTACGGGTGTTGTCTGCGTCAGCTTGCTTGGTACAGGCAGAGTATTGGCCATGAAGCGGTTTATCTTGCCATTGTTTCTGTATCTGGTCGGTTGCATTTGTCTTTGCTTTCTTTTGCATTTGTCTTTTCTTCTTCTTCTTCTTCTTCTTCTTATTATTATTATTATTATTATTATTCTTATTATTATTATTAATAATATTATTATTATTATTATTATTATTATTATTAATAATGATAATAATAATAATTTCTGGTGTGTGTACATTACTTTCCGGGTCCCGCCGAGAGACCTAAGGTTAGAAATGGCATTTTACATAGATAAAGCCCTTCGTAAGGTGTGGGCTGTACTCGCGAGAACAATTTGTTGTACTTCTTTAAGGCATGGGCTTCCAGGAATCCCTTCAATTAGTCTACTGGAATTTTTTTCCAACCAATCCGAGGGCTCCAACCACAACAGGGATTGTTATAATAATAATAATAATAATAATAATAATAATAATTATAGAAATAAGTCTTATTTCTCGCAATATATCTCCATTAAGAATCGAGAACAATAAAAGAAGAGTAATCAAGGAGACAGTAGATGACGATTGACATTGCATTTAAATTTTTAAAGATCAAAGCTTGTTGGAAAGCATGGAACCGTAAGAGAGGTCAACATGCGAGAAGTGCGAGAAAAGAAATAGTTAACATAAAACTCAGGGTTAAATCTAACCGATTTAACTGTGAATTGATGAAGTCTTCCCGCCAATCTCGTACTGCGGTTAAATTCATAAAAGAAGTCATCTGAACAATTATCATGAAGGCATTTATATTTATATAAAAGGCTCAGTGAAATTTGGCATTATATATATATATATATATATATATATATATATATATATATATTTGTCATTATATATATATAACCATGTTTCAAAAATGGAAGCTAAAAGCTTCGAATTTAACTTTAAAATTAAATTAAAAACATTAGTTCCATTTTCTTTTTTTTAATTTGATGAGAAAATTAAATTCGAAGCTTTTAGCTTTCATTTTTGAAACATGGTTATTACTTTGTAGCGAAAAAAAACATATTTTAAATCATTTAATTTATAATATTAATGCTCTGTAAATTTACATTGTGCACTATTTCGTAAAAATAAAAATATCAATAAGAACTACGGATTATATATCTTAATGTTCTTTCTTTCTATATATATATATATATATATATATATGTGTGTGTGTGTGTGTGTGTGTGTGTGGATTCGATTTGTCAAGGAGAGAACAATCTGCCTGAAGAAATGATCTCAGAATGCGGCACTATTGGAAAGTTCTTGAAAGCTATACAATTGGCTGACCCATGCCTTAGGTAGATGAAACTGATCAGAATCCGACAGTGTTTGGGCTAGCCCGAAGTCATATGTCCTCATCTAATAGGCAGATAAAAATTTGTTGGCAATCTATCTAGAGATTGTGACTTGATAAAAACACCCAGTAACCTTGCCGATCCTAGGAATATATCGACCTAAAATTAAAAAAAATTAAAAAAAAAAAAAAAAACGCACATTGAGGGAAATTCTTAAAATACATAATTAAATAAGTCAGGTAAGTTTGCAGTCTGCTACAGGAGAATAAAGCACAAATGATTTCCTCGAGTGAACAGAGAAGATGTGATGGTAGAGTAACGATTATCGGTGGAGAAAGTGGAACCTGCGAGGCAAGTTCAAATTCCAGTTTAATCTACAATGTTCTTTTTTCACTATTGACCATAGGTGAAAAGTATCTCTCCCACCCCCAGCTTCAGTTACGAGTTACGAATTAAGGTAGACTAGGGTTTTTAGCTTTGATAAGGCAACCTGTCTAGGGGAAGGATAATACTGTATTAAAAACCGTGCACAAGGAAACGGGAAACGAATTCATTTCTAAAAAAAAAAAGTCCCGACTTGATAGAGTTCAAGGGCGTCAACGCGTCCTTGTAGGCGATTAATTATTTCCCACAGTACAGCTCCTTTCCACTCGCTGCTCTATCGTTGTTTGTATAACCTGTTTTCTGGCGCGATACGTTCCTCAGCCCTACCATTCCCGACCGTAGAACCCGCCATGCTACCTACACATGCAGGAATCATCCTTATTCCACTAGTAAGAATTAAGTTCCATGCAGACCAAAATTTCCCAAGAACTGCTTTATTTTTAGATCTTTTTCCCTAGTCATGATCATTTCAAATTCTAGGGTTAATCCTTATTAACTTACATGAACTTACTTCTTACGCTCATACAACACTATATACCCCTCTACCTTGAGTGGCTCTTTGGTTTTGTACTGGGTAAACTGTTGTAGCTTACCGATGGACGATAATGTGTATGTCTACATTCTCATAAATACAATAGTAAATACTGTATGTTGGTCTGCAGTTGGAAATTCGTCTCCAACTGTGCTGATCAAACTCTCTATGTCGAAGGGCAGAGTCTCGTCTCAGGAAACAGCTACCCGTCCCCTTTTTATACGGGGTCTACTGGGAATTTTTGGCCGATCCTACGGGCTCGGATGCCCCACATTAAATTCGGCTTTGTGCCACATCTGACGGCGTGGGACGGTTGGTAGATATCCTACAGTTGGAGATTCATTGTGGAATTCACTTGACTCTATTCTAACCGTTGACTACTTATTCTACGCACCGCTGGCGAATCTTATATGTGTTGTTCTTGTCCTAAGTGTTATTGTTCATTACCAGCCTTCGTATGATTATTCTATTCAGTAACCTTCGTTAGGTTACAACATAAACAGTTGTATAAAAAAACATGACAATTCACAGATAATAGAGAAAAGAAAACGCATAGGCCTGAACATCCACATAGCCCACCTGTGGTTTATATTATAACAATGCTGAGCGCGCCTTAATTACTGTTTCTGGGAGAGAGTCCGTTTTCTGGTTTGATCAATAGATTGAACCAGGCCTGCACGCTCAAACACTCAGTCACAATGACTTGCGACTTCATGCTAGCACAACTGTCGATGGCTCCCAAATAGTTCCGTCTACCCAATTTCACTCACAAGGTTGGGGTCAACACTTAGTAACTTTTTTTCTAAAATGGTAGGATCGCCTAATCTCCTCCACCCCCAGGTTGATAACATCAAGAAGTCACCTAACTGACAAATCGATTATGGTAAGATTCGAACCCGGATCGCATGGTCAGAAAGCGAGCGTTCTAACCTTTCGATGCCTACGATATGGCATCAAAAAAATAAAAGGGCCACTATATGCTATACTGAATACTATGTCATAGGAATACAACTTACTGTCAGGCATGTTTGTCGGGCTCACTTTTTCTCTGCCATCGTAGTGAGACAGAAAACTTCACCAGAATTAGAAAATACACCTATCTTGTTCATTTAAAGTCTTCGTTCTTATAGCGGGGTATTCGCAAGATGAGCGCATGATCAGTGTGTTGCAGTTTCTCGTGTCCGAGCGGAAGTTTTGCGCCTTCCGGAAACATATGCGTGTCCATTCTTCTGTGAGAATACGCCTACAGGAGAAGCATCATTATCATCTGAATTGCTGTTATTTTTTTTTTGTTGTTGATATTATTTGGTTGGTAGTAATAGCAAAAGGAGTAGTAGCATTTGTTGTTGCCGTTGTTGTTGCTGTTGCTGCTACCACAGTTGTCATAGTTGCTGTTGTCTTTGTTGTGGTCCAGAAACAAATTTAAGAAGGGGATGCTCTTCAGTCGGCACTCATCTGCCATAACCGACAAACATTTGATATGAAAAGACAGCTGCTGATGTTATCCACTAAGTGTACTCCCTTCATTCTTCCCAATGCCATTTCCTTCATATATATATATGTGTGTGTGTGTGTGTGTGTGAATCATCTTTTTTATTTCTTTAGTCAACTTTAGAGTGTTTGCCAGTTGCTATTTGTTTCAGCATATTGTCATTCAGACTGTTTCTTTCCTTTTCCTATATCTTTGTATTCTCCTACGTTTCTACCCACTCTTACTTTCTTACTTTCTTCGTTTCTCCATCTTTCTTTTGCCTTGTTTTTTTCCTTCTTCCCTTTCACGTTTTTACTTCTTTTTCTCGTCACTTTCTATTACTTTCTTTCTTTCTTTCTTTCTTTCTTTCTTTCTTTTTTCTTTTTTTCTTTCTTTCTTTCTGTACTGGCGCTTTTCTCTCTCTCTCTCTCTCTCTCTCTCTCTCTCTCTCTCTCTCTCTCTCTCTCATTTTGTTTCGTTCTTTATTTTTGTTATTTATATCTTTCTTTTTTTTCTTTCTTCATTTCCTTCGACTTCCTTCTGTTTTCGGTGTTCTGTCTGACATTTTCTTATCTTTTTTTGACATTATCTCAGTCTGTTCCTATCTATCTATCTATCTATCTATCTATCTATCTGAGTATGTTATCTATCTATCTATCTAATCTATCTATCTATCTGAGTATGTTATCTATCTATCTATCTGAGTATGTTATCTATCTATCTATCTATCTATCTATCTGAGTATGTTATCTATCTATCTATCTATCTATCTATCTATCTATCTGAGTATGTTATCTATCTATCTATCTATCTATCTCAGTCTGTTCCTATCTATCTATCTATCTATCTATCTGAGTATGTTATCTATCTATCTATCTAATCTATCTATCTATCTGAGTATGTTATCTATCTATATATCTATCTATCTATCTATCTATCTGAGTATGTTATCTATCTATCTATCTATCTGAGTATGTTATCTATCTATGTGAGTATGTTATCTATCTATCTATCTATCTATCTATCTATCTATCTATCTATATCTATCTATCTATCTATCTATCTATCTATCTATCTATCTATCTATCTAGTATGTTATCTATCTATCTATCTATCTATCTATCTATCTATCTATCTGAGTATGTTATCTATCTATCTATCTATCTATCTATCTATCTATCTGAGTATGTTATCTATCTATCTATCTATCTATCTATCTATCTATCTCAATCTGTTCTTATCTATCTGCCTGTGTGTATCTGTTTATAGGTACCTTTTTACTCTCTTGCTTCTTGTCTTTCTCTTTTCTCTTATTGTCTTTCTATATATATTTATCTATATATATATATATTTGTGTGTGTGTGTGCGTGTGCGTGTTTTCTTGGCTGGCTGTTTTCGCTTTCATTTATTTAATTATCTTCCCCTGCGTTCAATTAGTCTTATATTGTTCCTTTTCTTTCTTTCTTTCTTTCTTTCTTTCTTTCTTTCTTTCTTTTCACTTATTTCTCTTTACCTTTTTATTTTTTCTTCTTCATCTTATCCCCTTGCTCTTCCTTTTCCCTCCTTCTAAATTTCGTCCATTCTTTCATCTTCTAAGGAAAAAATAAACAAACAAAGTGGCTGTGGAGTGGGAAAAAAACATATATATATTTCCTTTTCATTTCAATCTTCTAAAAGACTTCTTTTCTTTTTTTTTTCTTTTTTTTCTTATTTTACCAAAGATGGCAAATAAGAAGCCAAAAAAGAAATCTTAAGGGAACAAAAAAAGAAATCCCCCCCCAAAAAAAAACTCTAATTTGAAAGAAAAGAGAAAGAGAAACGGTTTTCTTCGTCACTATCTTGTTCACAATACTTGGAAAATATTCCGTCAGTCACAACGTCCAGTTACTCAGCCATCTAGAAAAAGAAAACGAGAGCAAGAAATAAGAGTATCAATTTACATGTTGTCTTGTGTATTCATCCGATGTCTGTTCGTTCAATGAGAATACACGTTACTGTAGGGCACGTCGACAAAAAAAAGATACAAAAGCCGGCCCTATTTATGTTTTAGTATTGCAGAATAAACAGAAACTTTTTTTATATATATGTGCGGCTATCTTTGTGCTTATATCCATCCATAGTCGGATCTCTCAGTTCAAATAACACGAAGTTTTATGAGGAAAACAAATGGAGGAATTGTTTGTAAGTAGTTGTGTAACTGACGCATGCGCACTCTTACAGCAATACAGATGTTTGTCTTTACAAAATGTTAGCCCAAAGAGCCGCTCAAAGCAGAGGGTTACTGAATGAGGTTGTTGAATGAATATAGGTCGAGTGGGTAAGAAATGCATATCATGAGCATATACAGGAAATATAACGTTTGAACCTGGGCTTGAAATGTTAAGATTTTAACGATAGAGTAAGCATCCACTTGGGAGTCGGTTCCAAGAAGAGGTTTTTTGAAAGAATCTGTTCGAATATAACTACCTTCATTGCAATAAAATACGAAAAGTATTGGTCCCAATATATGTGTATTTGTTGTGAAAGTTTGAACTGGTGGAAGAAATAAGTGTACCTCTTCAGAACATTTGCCATGGAAATAGCGATAGACTAGCGGTAGGCCTGCGATATTTCGATTATGGGAAAGGAGTTGTAGATTTAGAAAATAATGCATCACCTACAAGGTTGTGTAGACGCTAGTGAACACTATCAAAACTCAGATATGTATCTGTACTTGCATGAGTTTTGACCCCAAATCATAAATCCTTAGCACAGGGTGACCATATTTTTTTTTTTTTTACAATTTAAAAAAACTTATTACAAAAGCAAATGAACAGACAAATATGCGTAAATTGTTACAAAATCAGGATATATCGATATTGAAGTCTTTTTAACTAATTTAATACAGCTCTATATGGACACAATTATTTGTACGAAGCACGTCCAAACGTTACTTGATTTCTTGCCATGTTCACTGTAACATAGCCTCATCAATGGTTGCAATGGCATCAGTGATTTTTTGCTTTAGATTAGTGATGTCCTGTATCGTTGTTCAGTACACGATATCTTTAACATAACTCCATAGAAAGAAGCCCAAGGAAGTGATATATGGTGAAAGAGGTGACTAGAGAATTGGACCATCTCTTCCAATCCATCGGTCTAGAAATATTTGATTTAGGGACACACAACCATGCAGTTCCCAATGTAGTAAAAAATGATAGTTGGTCGAAGGTCATTTACTTGGGGTGCCACATCAGTTGCCTTCGTAATATATATTTTTTTAAATTGTAAAGAGACTTTATGTACACCATGTGCCTTTCTTCATCTCTCTCTCTCTCTCTCTCTCTCTCTCTCTCTCTCTCTCTCTCTGTATATATATATATATATATATATATATATTAGGTTAGTGCAAAAATAATAACGTAATAATGTCGTTTTTTGACGTACTTATCTCCGTCAAAAAAACGACATTCTTACGTCATTATTTTGCACCAACCTAATATATATATATATATATATATATATATATATATATATATATATATATGGTGTCCATAAAGGCACTTAGCAATTTTAAAAAATATTACAAAAAATCAAATGAACAACAAAAATATGTTGAGATTGTTACAAAATGAAGAGTAGATATTAAAATTTTTAACTATTTTAATGCACCTCTATATGGGCGCCATTAGTTGCACGAAGCACAACAAGACGGTAATCGATTTCTTGCCATATTCGCTGTAGCCCAGCCTCATCAAGGCTGACAATGGCATCAGCAATTTTTTGCTTTAGATTAGTGATGTCCCGTATCTTTGTTCTGTACACGATATCTTTAACATAACCCCATAGAAAGAAGCCCAGGGGAGTGATATCTATGGTGAACGAGGTGACTAGGGAACTGAGCCATCTCTTCCAATCCACCGTTCTGGAAATGTTTAATTTAGGGACACACGAACATGCAGTCCCCAATGTGGTAGAAAATGATGGTTGGTCGAAGGTCATCTCGTTGTGGTGCCACATGAATTGCCTTTGTATTATTTTTCTCGCTCCAATCCATCATGCAACCCTTATAGATCGACAGTTCGTCCGTGCATTGAATACAGCTGCTATATCTGGTCTAGTGCATCTGCTATACCTGATAAGACTCTCAACAAAATCCAAAGAAATAGTTGTAATGTCATCGGTCCTGACGTAGCATGTTACTATCTGTTACTTTCACACCGCCGTGACGTGACTTCCCTCAGTCTTTCCTATAAATATTTCATGGCCAATTGTTCTAATGAGCTTCCTCCTCCTTGGCATGAATTTAAATGCACTACTAGAGTGACAACTAGGTCCCATCATTTTATTGTTGAAATAGCCGTTTTTCTCGCACTTCTCGACAGGGAAACATGCTTTCGGTTTCACTGCCGCTTACAATTTTCAACAATTTCAATGCAACATCGATCGACCTTTTCTGTCCTCCAGAATCCTGCTCTTTTAGTATTCTCTTTCACTCCTAGTCACCGCCTTGCATCTTAGTGGCATAATCGCTATCTTGTGTCTTCCTGAAACCTGTTCTTTTATTATCCTTTCTCCGCACTAATGTCTTCTCATTCTCTTTCAATCCTAGTAACCCCTTGCGTCTTAGTGGCATTATCGCCATCAGCTGTCTTCCTGAAACCTGTTCTTTTATTGTGCTTTCGCTCATTAGTGTCTTCTCATTGTCTTTCACTTCTAGTAACCTCTTGCTTCTTCGTAGCATTATCTTATGATTTCCCGAAACCTGTTCTTTTATTGTCCTTTCTCCTCACTAATGTCTTCTCATTCTCTTTCACTCCTATTAACCCCTTGCATCTTAGTGGCATTATCGCCATCTTCTGTTTTCCTGAAACCTGTTCTTTTATTGTCCTTTCTCCTCACTAATGTCTTCTCATTCTCTTTCACTGTCAGTGACTAACATGTTAGTGGCATTATTGCCTTGCTTAGGGTGAACATAATTGTCTTAAAAGCCCCTTTTATCTTTTGTTCGATGGCTAAATCTAATACAGCCGAACGCAAAAAAAGAACTGTAGAATTTTTTTTTAATTTACGTTAGTCTTCTACGAAGTACACATTTTTGAAAGATTAGATTTATTAATTTTACATATAGGAAACGTGGTGTACTGCGTTGAACAGGAAAAACTCATAATCCAACAATTTTATTATTCTCGGCATGATTCTAATTGACAATTTTTGCAAATGCGAAATTGAATAAGAGTTTTAGAATCAACGCAGGCAACATCTTGTAACCCTACCAAACATGACTGAATGCCAAATACTTGACCACCCCTAGCCTAGAGAAAAGAAATACCGGCAGATTACCTGATGCAGGCAGCACTTTTAAGTCTCGAAAAAGATTTATATCCGACCCTCGAACATCTTAGACAAACAGACTCTCAAATCTCCCACCAATCTCATTAGCGAGGCCCAAGTCAATATTGGTCCCTCGCCAACACTTTCCCGGGGGGGGCAGCCAATATTGAGCACGCTACTTTGTCGAGAATTACTCCTTGAGAAAACCTACTGCCACGCCTCGACGGAATCAATATTGTTAAGACATTGATCAGAAAAGTTGAACAAGGATCAAACAGGAACAATGTGTCTTGCGATTGGTGTTAGATTGGCTCGCTCAAAATTGTTGTTTATGCGTAGGACTGTTGTTTTTTCTTATGCTTCTACTCTCTATTTATGGAAATCGTGATATCACGGATAGGGTATATCCAAGAAAAATACAACTAAACTTTCTCAAGATTAAATTTTCTTAACCATTGCCCCCCCCCACACACACACACCGCCACCTCCAACCAGAAAGGCGATAATGCCAACAAAATTCAAGGAGTTGCAGAAAGTAAAAGAGAACGAGTGGGTAGTTAGTAAGGAAAAGTACAATAAAAGAATAAGCTTCAAGGAAGCCAGAAGATGGGGACTGACATTACATTTAAACTTTTTTAAGGCTGTAGTTGTCAGGGAA